AGGAAAGGAAAGGAAAGGAAGAGCACAGCTTGGTGTGACATTTTGCAGCATATTAAGAGAACTGTGGTGCACATCCAAGCTCCATGTCGATCCCTTAACACCACCAGCACTCTCCCAAGTGAGAAAAACAAAGGTGGCCCCTGGCATCAGGCTGGAACACTTATCATATGCTCTCTGGCCTTTGGACTGGTCAGCAGGGTGTTTTGGGGAGGTGGGATGATGTCTCAGACTCACAAGGGCTGTTCATCATCCTCAGACTCCCCATCCTTGGCTTCCCTTGCCAGACTAATCCCTGCAGGTCCAACAAGGCACAGACTCTTCTCTGAGGCTGCTGCTTCTGTTTCTCTCTTTTAGGCTGATCCTGAGTGAGAGCCAAAGGCTGATGTTTGAGAAGCTGGCACTCTACTGCAACAGCTATGCTGAGCTAATCCCTGTGTCCTTTGTACTGGGTAAGGAGCTCTGTCTGGGATCATGCAGGGTGGGGAATGGGACAGCATTTCTTCTCCCTGGTTTGAGAGAGCAGTGCAGGCAGGATTCCCTGAGCAGATCCCTCCCTCTGCCTTTCTAAAACTCCTCAACTGGAATATATCATTTCACATCACAGCTGGGAGGTGCCCCCAGCACACAGCTGGCACTGCCAGGATGTACCAGCATGTTCTGGGCTCTGCCAGGAGGGCAGGCACCAAGTGACATCAAATACACTCAGAAGCTGTGGCTGACCCACCCCTGGAAGTGTTCAAGGCCAGGGTGGATGGAGCTCTGAGCAGCCTAGTCTAGTGGAAGGTGTTGCTGCCCACAGCATGGGGTTGGAACTAGCTGAGCTCAAAGGTTCCTTCCAACCAAACCATTCTGGGACTCTATGAAATAATAATGAAATAAACCATGAGACCCAGACTCTTTTTAGCATGGAATTCTGAATGGAAGTCTGTTGAAGCAAGTCCAGAGGAGGCCACAAAGCTGGTAAGAGGACTGGAACACCTTCCCTATGAGAATAGGCTGAGGAAGTTGGGGCTCTTCAGCCTGGAGAAGAGAAGGTTGTATGGAGACCTCATAGCAATCTTCCAGTGTCTGAAGGGGCTACAAGGAAGCTGGAGAAGGCAGTGGCTGGCCCCGCCCTCGCCGGGGTCGAAA